TCTATTACTGATGGGCCTACTTCCACCGTAGAGCCTGCTTCTACCGAAGAATCTACTACCGATGGGTCTACTGCCACCGAGGAACCTACTCCTACTGAAGGGCCTGCTTCTACTGAAGAATATACTACCGACGGGCCTACTACTACTGAAGAGCCTACTCCTACTGAAGAGCCTGCTTCTACCGAAGAATCTACTACCGATGGGGCTACTACCACCGAAGAGCCTACTTCTACTGCAGGGCCTGCTTCTACCGAAGGATCTACTACCGATGGGCCTACTTCCACCGAAGAGCCTGCTTCTACCGAAGAATCTACTACCGATGGGCCTACTTCCACCGTAGAGCCTGGTTCTACCGAAGTATCTACTACCGATGGGCCTACTTCCACCGAAGAGCCTACTCCTACTGAAGAGCCTGCTTCTACCGATGAATCTACTACCGATGGGCCTACTTCCACCGAAGGGCCCACTCCTACTGAAGAGCCTGCTTCTACCGAAGAATCTACTACCGATGGGTCTACTTCCACCGAAGAGCCTACTCCTACTGAAGAGCCTGCTTCTACGGAAGGATCTACTACCGATGGGCCTACTTCCACCGAAGAGCCTACTTCTACTGAAGAGCCTGCTTCTACCGAAAAATCTACTACCGATGGGCCTACTACCACCGAAGAGCCTACTCCTACTGAAGAGCCTGCTTCTACCGAAAAATCTACTACCGATGGGCCCACTACCACCGAAGAGCCTACTCCTACTGAAGAGCCTGCTTCTACCGAAGAATCTTCTACCGACGGGCCTACTACTACCAACGGGCCTACTACTACCGAAGAGCCTACTCCTAGTGAAGAGGCTACTACCAGTGAAGAACCAATAAGTAGTGTAGATCCTGGTACTACTGGAGGATCCATTACCAATGAAGGACCCAGCTCTACACCAGTACATAGCACTACTGAAGGACCTGTTACTAGCGATGAACCCAGCGTAACCAACACTACCACTGAGGACCCTATTTCAAGTACAACTACACCGAGAGATCCAGAGCGTTTTCAATGCCCTTATGAAGGTTTCTTTCCGCGTGCTGATAGCTGCAACAAGTTCGACTACTGTACCAGGTACAGAGGCAAACTAAGGGACTTCGAGCTAAAGTGCCCTAGAGGTCAAAAGTTCAATAAGGATACCTTATATTGTGATCCATCGATTGATTGTAACAAAAACGTCTCCCAAACGGAAATCCACCACCCCAAGACATTCGAGTGTCAAGTGGACGGTAAATTCCCACATAGGAGCGATTGCACTAAATACTACACGTGCACGTGGAACAGAAATCATCATACATATATGCAAACGCCCAGCGTTTGTCCACGTGGACTGGTCTACCGACTTGACATTGGAGCATGTGGCTACGAGGGGCTATTGACTTGTATATTCCGACCTGAAGGCTCGAAACATCACAAACCATGGGGTGTGAATTCTTCCTAAACCATTGAACTGACGGTAGATACTCTTAGCTATTTCACTGTACATAACTCACCAGTAGTGTATATTAATTATAAATAAAATTGTTTAATTCATTAATTTAAGGTTTTGTATAATATTTATATATGTAAATATAAGGATTAGTGAAGAAGTTCTAAGGCAACAATTTCGAAAATAATGACTTTTTATTCTGAGTTGAGGAGAAGAAGAAGAAGAAACGTTCGAAATAGAACGGACGTCGTGGTTGTTGTTGTAATGGAGTGGCTGGTGATGAAGCGTTTTCGAACTGTTACCAAAAGCATAAAAAGTTTGCTGTATAACAACTAATCGCAAAAGTACTTTAGATTAAAACTTTATCGGCTATTATTTATTCATTAATAGCATATGACATTTACCGCAGGAACAATAAATATGAATGATTATTCAAATGCAATCAACTAAAGTCTGAAAGACCATTACGAACCGTGTTGTCGACGAATACCTTATCTTGGGAATTGAATTCTGTCCTCTCTATGAAGTAATCATGGAATCATTCAAGACATAACACAACATTCCAAAAAAAAACTCAAATATCAGAAGGTAAAACTTACTATTATCTTCCAAGGAGATAAACGGAATCGGTGCATATTTATAAGTACATATCTCTGTGCGGTTAAATTTTGTAATCAATTAATTAAAATTTTAGATAAAAATATATTAGCTACCACAATTTACTATAAAAGAATTAGCTTCTAGCACACTTCAAGTATTTACTTTTCATCGATTTAAAGTCTAGGACCAAAGTGGCGAATAGTGAAAAACGAATAGTAAATATTACAAATTGAAATTTCGTTTTGATTTGAACAAAAGTGTGACGAAATGAAAACAATTTTCCTGGGATTAATTTTGGCATTAGCCATAGCCGATGCGGGACGTTTACTGAATCCTTGCAAGCAGCCTGGATTTTTCGCGCACGTTGATAATACATCTGCTTTTTATGGCTGCTATCTAAATGAAGATGGAAATTTGGATGTAAAATATTTGACATGCGCAACTGGTCACCTCTTCAAACGCACTGCCGGATATTGCGTGCCCAAAACTAGTTTCGCAATTGAAGCAAGAGCCATCACGGATAGTAATGACGATGAAGAAAATCCCACCGAACCGACAACTACGACAAAAGGTGATATCATAAAACCTACAATTCCTACAACTGCTGCTACTGGTAGCACTATTAACGGCAACACAAAAGTAGATAATAATGATGACGGTGAAACCACAGAGGAATCCACTGAGGCTACTACCGCAGAACCTGCAACAACTGTAGAAACAACAGAGGCTACTGAGCAACCGGAAACAACTGAAAACTCTACGGAAACTACTGAGGAACCTGCAACCACTGACGAAACCACAGTCGTCTCTACTGAAGAACCTGCAACGACCGAAGAAACTACCGAGACTACTGACGAGCCCGCAACAACTGCGAGCACTACTGAGACAACTGAAGAACCAACCACAACTGCGAGCACTACTGAGGAACCAACAACAACTGATGAACCTACCACTACTGCAAGCTCTACTGAGACAACTGATGAACCAGCAACAACTGCTAGCTCTACTGAGACAACTGAAGAACCAGCCACAACTGCGAGCACTACTGAGACAACTGAAGAACCTGCAACGACTGCGAGCACTACTGAGGAAACAACAATAACTGAAAGCTCCACTGAGACAACTGAAAAACCTGCAACAACTGCGAGCTCTACTGAAACAACTGAAGAACCAGCAACAGCTGCTAGCTCTACTGAAGAACCTGCAACAACTGGAAGCTCAACTGAGACAACTGAAGAACCTGGAACAACTGGAAGCTCAACTGAGACAACTGAAGAATCATCCACAACGAGCGGATCAGTAAGCACAACTCAACCGGAGAGCACTACTTTACCTGCATTTGATTGTCCCGATGAGGGCTTCTTTCCCCAATCTGGATCTTGCGATAAATTCGCCTACTGCGCTAATGTTAATGGTGAAATAAAGTACTATCTGCTAAGTTGTCCCACGGGCCAACAATTTAATTATTATGAATCATACTGCGATGCAAATTTCGATTGCGCTGATGCAACGCGCTCAGTAAGTCGCAATTCAGCACGCCGCCGTTTCAACATATTTCAGATTCTTAATCATTTTTAGAGCAGTTGTGTTTATTGTGGCTGAATTAAAAATGGAACTTTGATACCAATATACTTTCTAAACAATTTTTTTTATTAGAATACCAGTTTAGAAATTAAAGAAAACAAAAACAATAAACAATGCGCTGGCTTGCTAACGAATCCGGAGCCTACTGAATGGGGGTTCGGGGTTCGATCCGACTTGTTTCAGCGCTTTGAATACCTAAACCATCTACCGTAAAAACAGCACTAAAATGTATTTTTCTGGAAATTTTAACAAAAGTGTTTTTCAGTCAGTAAGAAATTGACATAAAAATGCTTCGGTTTTTTTTTTGTCTCTCATACTTATCCCTTTGTCCAAGAATTATACACAGTCACACAACTATTTAAATTTATAATTAATAGGAAATTTTAGCATTGCCACTTTTTTCTTATGCTTACCTTTGCATTGGCGTGAATTCGGCTTATCATCGGTTTGCTCGACAGATGATAAGACATTTCCAAGAAATAAAATGTACAAACAAACTTTTTGAACTGAAATCGTCAGCAAGTAATTGTTATTAAAAGATAAACAGCTTATCTTTGTTTAAATAACGCAATCACGTTTCACCTTTCTGCTACGAGGGTGTTTTTTCATTTGTACAAAAGACTAATTATTAAAAAAAAAATAGCGGAACTCGAAAGATTATCATTGGCTTGTGGTTACTAATGAGACCATAATCATTTTATTGAATGTATTTTATTGATTAAAATATATCAAAAAAAAAGTAGATTTTAGAACCAACCGTTGTCAACTTGTTGAGTATTTATATAAATTATATAGTATAAAGGAGGAATATGGGAATTTCCTTTGTAGTTTCAATATAATCACTAGCCTGTACATATGTACATACACTGCCGGCAAAAAGTATTGGCATACCAAACAACAACAACATGCAACAATTTTTTTTAATATTTTTCCGCCAATTTTTTATAAAAATATAGTCCATTCTACAACAAAAAAAAATCAGCAAATTTTCATGCAAATTTTCAACTTTTTAATCAGATTTTTTAGAATTTTTTTGAGTATGCAGATTTGTACTTTACTATTACTGTTTACTATATTAAGAAACAAGTTTTAGGTAGCTAAGAAATACCGTTGATTTTTAGCAATTTTTTCACGCAGTCTCTTCCATACAAAATTTTTTTTTCGAAAATACTTTATATGGAAAAAATGCAAAACACCTTAAAAAAATCTCAAAAATCACAGCGATTATTGACTAACTCCGGACTTGCAGTTTTTTTACAAGAATTTAATCGGCTGCAAAACTGGTTACGTAACAAAATTCTGAAAAATCTGATTAAAAAGTTGAAAATTTGCTGAATTTTCGGGAGTTTTGCACAAAGTTTAGGAATAATATTTCAATGTTTTTCTGTTGTAGAATGAACCATGAATGAAAAAATGATGCGTATATAGTGAAAAATTTGCCTAGACTCGCCTTACTTTGAAAATTTTTGGCAATATTTCCGTGGTTTATTTTATGTTTAATATTTTTTTATAAAAGCCTGACTAGTTCTAAAATAATCACCATATCAGTCAACTTTTCAAACTTTATACAAAATTCGACAAATTTTCACCAAAGTTTTAAACTTTTTATTCAGAATTTTTAGAAAGTGAAAGTGCAAGTTTCAAGTGGCTAGCAAATACCGTTGGTTTTTGAAATTTTTTTGTCGGCATTGTCTTCCATATAAAAAATTGTCGAGCACACTTTGTATTTTATAGCCAATTGAAACTTTCGCTTTATTAAATTAAATGGGCTACAAAACCAAAAAATTGTCTAAAAATTCTGAATAAAAAATTTAAAAGTTTTGTGAAAATTGGTCGAATTTGTATAATTTTTGTTCAAAGTTTGAAAAGCGGATTTATATGATGTCTGTTGTAAAACTACCTAGGCTTTTATAAAAAAAAATATTAAAAATAAAATAAACTAAAGAAATATAGTCGAAATTCTTAAAAGTACGACAAGTCTATTAATTCTGGCGCCAGTGTATATTTCAATTCGGGTTACTGATTGCCCTTGAATATTTTCTTATCAGACTGATACATTTTGAAAATAGAAGACACTGGCGCCGCGGAAAAGAAAATTACGTACATATGTATCTGCAGAATTGTTACGTGAAATATTTTCAGGGTGGGCAAAGGCCATGGTTATACATGCGCAAAACTGAATTGACAGTTATAAAAAGCCTCCACCCTTTATATTAATAGCCACCATTACAGATCATGCGGCCGCCGTGGTGTAGTGGTAGGCAGTGCGCATTCCACTCCGCAGCGCCTGGGTTCAAGCCCTGGTCAAAGCAACATCGCAAAAAAATTTAGAAAAAAAAAGTTTTTCTTAACAGCGGTCACCCCTCGGCAGGCAATGGCAAACCTCCGAGTGTATTTCAGCCATGAAAAACAGCTTCTCATAAAAATACGATCGCCGTTCGGAGTCGGCGTAAAATTGTAGATCCCTCCCCGTTGTGTGACAACATCAAGCCACACACCACAAATCGGAGGAGAAGCTCACAAAATCACATTTTAAGAATCCATTCTGTAAAAGGGCCTACAAAAATGCATGTAGCTGGAGAACTTAGTTTCACTTGCAGACTTATTAATCTCCCCCGAATTGCGGAGACAGTTAGGTATATAAACCTCGCAAAGCTCGCGGATTGGATTTTTTTACGTCATCAAGCCTATTCCAGTATCCGATGGATACCTTTTCCATGGATCTAATCCGATTTTTTACACTCTTTTCTATGCAATGGCTCTTTAGCAAAAAATTTGTTTTTCGTAAAATGTTTGGAAAATGGGTGTGACACCGCCCACTTATATCATATATGTGTCTATCAAAAACTACTTCACCGATCTCGACGAAATTGGATATACATATTGTGCTTAGACTCATTAAACACCGTCTTTAAAATCGTACAAAACCTACTCCCCCTAAAATATAGCCAGTGTTATTTTTATTTATTTTTTTTTTTTTTAATTACCGTTGTGTGGGTGGAGCGAGTGTTTTTTGTCACTGTGCACACTGCAGTAAGTTTATAGGTATATTCTCTGCTCGTTCTTAAGATAGCTTTGGTTTTAAGTGGGTCGTAGGACACCCAGAACTGCCGGGTCATTTTGCACAATCCTGTACGGCGCCACCTCTGTTTGGGCTTCGAGTGATAAATTTCGGTAATTTTCACTTTGATCTCTTTTAGTGAGGCCCTCCCTGGTCACCGCATGGGACACATTCACTGCGGAGCTGCACCATTTCTTATGGCCTTATTGTACTCCGCAAATAGAGATGCTGTGAATTGGAATTTTTGGCAGCAATATGTACAGTTTTTTGTGCGAAAAATGATACCACCGTTAATTATGGCGGAAGAATCGCACTTTCAACTAAAGCCTAGTTTTGAATGTCTACGAAAATTTGGGGAAAAAAACTAAAAAATGACATGATAAAATTTTTAATGTAATGGTTCGCATAAATCTAAAACAAAATGGACAAACATACGCCAACACAATGGTCAACCACAAACAGCTATAACTTGCAAATTACAGACATTAAGATCAAGATCTAACAACAACTATTAACGGCAAATTTTCGAATTCCGTGAGTTTCGGCATTACGCAAGAGTCGTTCATTCCAAACATTCAACCAACATAAACAAAGGCAAAACGTAGTGGGAATTACAATGTGTGACATGCGGCGTGCACAGAATTTCTAGTTGAAGTTATTGTATGCGAAGTTGCAGAGAGACAAATGGGCAGACAGTTGGACGCAAACGCGTTAACAACACTCATAATTGTTGAACATTTTCCGTTTTTGGCAATACGCGCGCTGTTAAACTGGCCGCAATCGAACACACACAAACAAACGTAGAAATGTACTTCATTCGTAAATACGTATGTAATTTATTTAAACATTACGATTGTTTTATTTTCTGTTATTTTATTTATGCACAACTGAGTACTCGAATATACATACAATCAGCGTCGAAAATATGCATACAGTGACGATTTTATTTAAATTATTATTATTTGTTTTTTTTTTTTAATTTCACACAGAATTTTGAAAAAATGCAAGAAGTTTTCATCGAAATTTAAAATTTTTCAATTCGATTTCTTCTACATAATGCATGAACATAATCTGTTTTTAGATGAAAGACGGTGTTGCGTACCCGCAGCGAAAAAAATTCCCAAAGGCAACGATAATTTTTAGTAACTTGAAACTTGCACTTTTTTATACTACAAAACTGCATAGTTACTCAAAATTTTTCTGAGAAATCGCATTGAAAATTTCGATGAAAATTTCTTGCATTTTCACAAATTCTGTATGAAATTAAATAATTGATTCTTGTGGTTTTTGCTAAATTTTTTATGAAAAAAAAAAATAAAAAATTGGATGGAAAAAATAATTAACTAAAAACGTCAAAATGTCAGGGTATGCATATTTTTGTCGCTGACTGTATATACATATACCCACATAACATACGCATCCACCTGCTGGGCTTTTGTATTGGCAGAAGCGACCATTTCAAATTGCTCTCACGTTAGTTAAATAAAAAGTGTTTAACACTGCGTAACCGCGCGCGCAATTGTTGCAGCAGGAGGATAGCAACAAAACAACAGTGGACGGACAACAAACAAGACGATTGTACAATTTGACAGTTTCATTTCGTTGCCGGCCGCCATCCACTAATTCGTTAATGGGGCGGACTAGGCGATCAAGCTTTTACGCATATCTACACAAACACACGTCCATTAATACACACAATTGCATATACGTAAGTATTTACAAGCGTATTTACGACCAAATTGCTGCTTTGCCGATCTGCCAACCTGTCGGCAGCGGCGGGTCAATTATGTAGCCAAAGCAGATCGCGCAGTGCCCCATAGCGGCTACACGTAATACCCTGCAACAATTATGGACGTGGCTTGACTTGGCATTG